TAAATCACCCATCCGCAATAGGGTGCCTGTACTTTCTGTGAGCAGCTAAATCAGATCTAAAGAAAGCGCTGAGAGCCATCAAATGCTGAGGTCCTACACTCCTTAGTGAGACTCTGCACAGGATGGGGAGACATTTGGGATGTTGGTGAGCAGGCAGAGATCTTTGCCAGCGGCGGGAGCCTGAGTAAAGTGGTGGCTTCTGAACAAACCTCCCTCCATCACTACTGTCAGTAGGAGGAAACGGCCACAGGGGGAGAGGCCTGCTGCAGGCACCGGGCATCCCTGCACCGCAGGGTGTGCCATCCTGCAAGGAGGCACAAATGACACCTGGATCTACAGAGGCACCTGGATCTGCATGGTGGCTCGTAGGGAAGTGTCATCAATGAGGTGAAAATGGAGAGGAAAGTCAGGGAAAGAAAGATGCCCATTGTGAGACAGATCTGTTTTCCCTCAGGCCCTGGTGGTCAGCTTGGCCAAAGAACAGGAGGAAGAGGACCCTGCAGGCCCAGCTGCTGGGCACTCACAAGGACTGACTTGAGTCCACGGTGAGGCTAGGCCCCTGTAACTGCCATGTCTCCCCTCCCTGCCTGCTTTAGTCCTGGCAGGGATCTCTGCCCAGGGATCTCTACCCAGCTCTGCATTTATGGTCTGCTGCGGTTATAGGGCTGCCCTTCTTTCTGTCCCACTGCCCAGCCACAGCTCAAGGGTCAGCACAGCCATGAGGGGGTGAGCAGCCTTTGGGGCCACCTGTGACCTTTTTGTCTTATTCTTGTTCCTGCAGGGAGAAAATGCTTGTGAGGAGTTGGACTCCCAGGTGGGACTGGTGGGCCCTCTAGCTTATGACTCACTGGCTGTGTCCTGCTGTTGGGCAGGGTCCTGCCTCAGCCACCTTCTCTGAATACAGGGTAAGGAGAGAGGGCACTTACCAGACTTCTTCAGCCTGATCTTCCCTCATTTACCTACCCATCAACACCAAGATCACACAGGGCCTGGGCTCTATCTGCAGAAGAGAAAGGGGTAAGCAACAAGCTTGGCTGGTCTCTTACACACATCGTGTTAATTCTCTCTTCTCCATGTCACAAGGGATCTCTGAAAGAAGGTGCTGGAGTCCAGCCTCCTCAGGGGCATCTTTCTTTGTGGTGGGGAGACAGGGCAATTGCCCACTGGTCTCTTGAGAGCAGGACATTGTAATGAACATCAGGGACAGACCCCCCTTCAAGTCTCTAGGAGAGACAGAGGATGATCACACAGCTAATCAAGGTCCCTGATGTTTTTGTAGCAGCATTCCTCCCTGCTTCCTGTCTCGTCGTGAAGCTTCCCAGGTGCCTTCTCCCAGCCCTTCCCTGCTCGTGGAGGAACTCTCCTGACCAGGATGAGAGGAAATCTGTTCAATGCTCAGTTAGGAGAAATCTGAGCTGAAGGTCTAGATTTTGATTTGAAGGCATTTTTTTAAGCCCATTTCCACTGTGTCCTGGGGGCAGGTGTTAGGCAGGGTTTTTAAATGATCCTTGAGGATGTGACATCTCCATGCTGGGTCCTTCCACCATCACCCACATGGTGGCCTGAGGAAAGGGACACAGGCAAAAGGATTTCAAAGGCTCATGGGACATACCCTCACTCCACACACCTGCAATCACAGGGCAAGTCCCCAAACCATGACAAGCGCAGGAGGCCTCATCCCCCACCTTTACCACATAAATATCTGCCCATCTGCAGCTCCTACATGCCAGAACCTGGCCCTTGGCCAGGCCTACAGCCTTCACGCTGGTTCCATTACCACACTCAGCACTGCACCTCCTGGGACACAATGTTCAGGAACTGCTCCAGCACCACCAGCTCCATGGTGTGACTCTGTGGTCCCAGCCAGTGCTGGGACAGCTCCTGTAAACAGCTTCCAGAGCCCTCTCTGCCTCCAGATACGTGAAGCCCTAACCCATGAAGCTGAACAATGAACTTGACACCTATCCCTTAACCATACCCCAAACTTCAAAATCCAACTCTCTCTAAACCCTAATCCTAAATCTAACCCCTACCCCCCAACCCAAACCCCTAAACTCTAATCTGAACTTTTAATTCCTAATCCTTAAACTACCAACATTAACCCAAATCCCAAACCTAAGCCAAAGTCCAAACCTAGACCTCTAATTCTAACCCCAGCCTGAACCCTAACCCTTGACCCAATCCCAAATGATAACTTCAACACTTAACATCGTAACCATATTCCCTAATCCTAAACCTGTAACTGCAAACCCTCACCCTAATTCAGAGAAGTTGTGGAGTTCCCATCCTTGGAGATACTTGAAAACCCTAATGTGCTGAATCCAAACCATAGCTCAGATTCTATCCTCCTCCTCCTCCTAATTCTTCTATTCTTCTACCAAAGGGAACAGTTTCAAGATATGTTTATTGTACATTTGTTTTAATCTTAACTATACAAAGAAAGCCAAGTAGGTCAGAAAACAATTATTTCCCTTTACAAATATTTCCTCTCTCCCTCCCCAGTTTCCCTTCCCATAGCTTCTGACAAAGGCACAGATACTGGCCAGACTGGTCTCTCAAAGAACACGCTGGCTGCAGAGCCAAAAAACAGTTAAACCATTCAGTAAGAACAGAAACATTAAGAACAAAACACACATCTACAATTCAGTGTAGTGATAGCATGATGTGGTTTGGTTTTTTTTAATCTATTATGATTAACTGCATCTTAGCTGGGAAATGCTCCAGCATCATCAGCAATGACAGCTATGGAAGAACCAGTTTTCTATAACATCTATTAAAAAAAAAATTAAACTCCGCTTACAAATATTCAGGATTATTATTGAGAATGTACTGTGTACATGCCCTTCTCCTTTATGTACATCAAAAAGATTCTGTATAGTGTGTATAGCAGCTTGCTGCAACACTGCTGGCAGCTACAACTTCTTGGTGATTTCTTTAATACATCAGCTGTACTTATAAAAATTCTTTACTTTCCTAAGAACTAAAAATAGTTTTTTTTCTGTATGTCAGATGATAATAAAAATGCAGTTTTACATATAAGTGAACCATGAAACGTGAGACTGAGGACTTGTAACAGGTACAGGAAAGGTTCAACAGTCTTGAAAAAAAAACCTCTGCCTTCCTCAGTCCATAGGGACAGCAGAGTCCAACCGCATATGCTCATAATTTTTTGTTGATGAGAAACTCAACGTGACCTGGCAATGTGCGCTTGGCACCCAGAAAGCCAACCGTATCCTGGGCTGCATCAAAAGAAGCATGGCCAGCAGGTCGAGGGAGGTGATTCTCCCCCTCTACTCTGCTCTGGTGAGACCCCACCTAGAGCACTGCATCCAGCTCTGGGGCCCTCAACATAAGAAAGACATGGACCTGTTGGAGCGAGTCCAGAGGAGGCCATGAAGATGATCAGAGGGCTGGAGCACCTCTCCTGTGAAGACAGGCTGAGAGAGTTGGGGTTGTTCAGCCTGGAGAAGAAAAAGCTCTGGGGAGACCTTATAGTAGCATTCCAGTACCTGAAGGGGGCCTACAAGCAAGCTGGAGAGGGACTTCTTACAGGGGCACATAGTGACAGGACAAGGGGTAATGGCTTTAAACTGAAAGAGGGTAGATTTAGATTAGATATAAGGAAGAAATTCTTTACTGTGAGGGTGGTGAGGCCCTGGAACGGGCTGCCCAGAGAAGTTGTGGATGCCCCCTCCCTAGAAGTGTTCAAGGCCACGTTGGATGGGGATTTGAGCAACCTGGTCTAGTGGAAGGTGTCTCCACCCATGGCAGGGGAGTTGGAACCAGATGGTCTTTAAGGGCCCTTCCAACCCAAACCATTCTATGATTCTATGATAATAATCCTCTGAAGAACTGAGCAATGTTTGCCAATACCCAGGTTGTGATTCCTCTCAGAAGCTCTAGGACTGTAGATGTGTGTACATGCCAGTGGCACTTGGAGTATGAGCCCGCCTGGCAAAATGTTGGCACCTCCTCTAAACATGATCACTCACTCTCTCTAGCTCCAGTGACAATAGTGACTACATCTCCCTTGACTTAGATGAAAGCCTAGACACTTTGTTCAGTATACGTACGTACATCGTAGAAGCTTAAATATAAGCAAGATTAAGTCCACTCTGAAGTCTTCTTGTTACAGGTCTGCGAGTTTGTCCTCCCGCACAGGAAAAACATGCCCAACTATGGCATAGGCACTCTGATGAACTTTTCCTGCATTCTTCATACCTTCTGGTTCGCTCTCCAGATTCAAAGGAGCTTCTGATTGTGACCTTACCTAACGTTAGTGAACAAGACAGTTTGCTCAGTTTCTATCCATGCTACATCGCTCTTCCCATCATGTACAAAGACACAATCATTTGTGCCAGCACTGATCTAGAGTATATCAACTTCACTCCAGTATTCACATTAACAGCAGAATTCACAAGCCACCTTGCTGAGTTGTTTGTTTTGCTTCTTAGGTTTATCTCCCCAAGAATAAAAAGAAAGAACAATAAAGGATGTGTGAAGCGACAATATTAGGATCATCTTCACGTACTTCATTTATTCAGTTGTATGAGAGGAGAGTAGTAGGACAATGAGTGTAAAAAAGATTTATCTCTCAGGTAATTCTTCTGCTTTGGGAAACTGAGTAGCATATTTTCTCTGGTTACAGAAGCTGCTCCTAAACTGTTGACTTGTTTGATACAGAGTTCTTTGATCACAGAAAGCTGCAAACAAACAACAGCATTACTGACAGTGCAGCTGGGAACAGATTTGTCACTATCAGCCTTAAGGACTGATTTTTCTTTCAGCTCTTGAGATCTTATGAATAAAGCTACTTCTGTAGAGACTACCAAATCCAAGCACATCTGGTACAGACAAACATGCTGGTGTTTATGATCTAATACCATTACAAGAACAGAGGAAGTTACATTTTTTTGATAGTTCTCTACACTGGTAATCGTTTGAAGCTCTTCTTTTGTACACATCAGAAATTCTCCACACTTCATCATCCAGTTCTGCTAGTGCTCTTCACAAACTTAGCGTTACTTTTAGTCCATTGCAAAGCCACAATCTGGGACACAGAATAAGGATGAAATTTGTGCCCTGAAACTTGGCCTTTAAATTTTAGGAGGTCAAGTCAAATATTGCCACCCAGATCCATTTTGTCTGAACCTGCCCTGCATGTATGTGGCTGAGCTACAATATTCGTACAGGAACATGCACTCAAATACACAAATATAGCAGTGTATTTCTGTTCCTACTTCCATAGGCGTGTTTATGGAAATTTTGTTTGTTTTAAAAAATGCTCTCTCTCCTTTCTGGTGTGTGTACACCCTTCTGTCTATTGGCACAGCATTTTCTCCCAGCTTGATTTATACGCTATGCCGACGGTTGTTGATCATGGCCACAATGTGTGACAGGTCCAAACTTTTCATCATAACCTCCATGAACTCCTCGTCTTTCCTTGCTCCCTCCACAAATTCATCCAGAGAAAGTTCACCTGTGTCAGACACAGACAGAAGGCATCAGAATCATGCCAATCCACATTTGAACAGGAAAAGGAGTATGGTAATCTAACTTTAGGGACCACTTACTATACGTGCACTGTTCTAAAGCACCAAGAGGCCTCAGAGAGTCTTTTCAAGCTTATATGAAACTTCCCCGATATCCAGGCAACTCCAGCTTCCTTTTTTTTTTTCCCCACACAAGGGACAG